CATTAATGAATCGCCTTTGCTTGTTTACACAGCGCAATGATTTGCTCGCATGAGTTTTTGTTATAACTATCAACAGGATTTATAATCGATGGATACACTCGTAGATATATTTAAATATTAAATATAACGGCATAATCTGCATTTACAAAAGATTAAAAATGACAAAAAATATGTAGCAGGAAAGTCTTGGACAAAAGTTTTATGAATCTCGGATCACTAGGAAAAGTTTTTGGAAATCCCTCACGGGCTTTTCCGTCTGAACAAAATATTTCTAGTATTCCGTAGCGCAACGTAATTTATTATACATTTTTTTATTTATTTATAATATTTTTTAAACTATAAATATCATTTATTTATAAAAACAAATTGGTAAACCGTGACAAACTTTCTATGAATCTCTATTATCCTTACTGATATAATAAATGTGAAAGTTACTAATATATAAAACAAAGTTTGTTTGATCTTATAACGCTTTAACTGCTTCCAATTCCAATCACTATGAAATTTGGTATATACGTGGATATGGAGAAGGATATAGGCTATTTTTTATTCCGGTCAGTATACATATCCCGGTCATGCGGGCGAAGTCGCAGGTAAAAGATAATACTAGCTTTTATTACAACATACTGTTGTATTCGACTCGGATATAAAACCTATCAATTGCAATAATAATTAACTTAATCTGCGCAGATGTTGCATAACATATTGATGCAAAAGACACTTTGAAAATTCAAATGTATGAAAATTTTTATTTTCTTTCTTTTTATTAAATAAAGAAAACCCTAAACAATTTTTTATATTAATACAAATCACAGATATAATACTGCCTTTAATTACTCCATCACAGATTACAGTAGTGAGCGTTGTTATTTGCCTTTGGTATAATAATAATAAACATATTAATTACAATATGTTTATGATTATGAAATAAATATTTCTTTGTGAAAACTATTATTACAAGTTCATAATGTAAAACGAACTGATAAATATGACAACCAAATCTGACTATACAATTAAGTTGATTCTGGTGCCTTGCATTTAATTGCTAAGAAAATTTATTACATTTAACGTGAGATAAGATTCGAGTGCGTGTCGATTGTTCATGCCTAAAGCTACATGGCGTAGCTTTAGGCTAATATAATAATAATAGATTGGTGTCTCATCTATAAATAAATATATAAAATATATATGTAACATATTATTTTGTATAGGGATCCCATACTTAAAAAATGCAGTTTCAATATATATATATATATATATATATTGAAACTGCATTTTTTCTTTATAAAAAAAAAACTGCTTACTCGGAAACATAGATAATATTGTGGTAAAATTGTAATTAAAATTGTAAAATCTACGCTAAAATTCAAAATAGACTGATAACCGTTAGAAACAGTTGTAATTAAACGTTCATAAGTTAAAAAAAAAAAAGTTACAATGACCGTTTATCATCAGACTGGTAGTATGGTTGTTTGCCATCTTCGTGATATAAAAAAGTCACAATTTGTCAATGTAGTAACAAATATTGAAAACGAACTTTAATAATACATAATAACAAGGGGCGTGTATACGGCGGACGCGATTGAGGATGCGGATGCGACGGCGGCGTCGGCAGCGCGGCAGCTCGGGCGCGAACGGTGGCGCGGCGTCCACTGGTGGAACCTTCACCCTGCACTTGAACTCTTGCGCGCGGACTGCACTCACGGCAGACTTTGCGCAATCAAGCGGACCAAAATTTACGAATCGCACTTGATGCTAACGATTATTCTAAATAGAAATAATTTATTCCTAACTGAATGCAGGCTAAATGGAACAAGACAAAAAATCTCAACACTTAAAGCCGAGAGCTTTAATTGCTTTACATGCAATAAAAAAGAAGGCCACAAATTGAATAATTTGAAATGAATATAAATCGTATATGCTGTAAAAACCTCAGAAGTATGGTTGTCTGTATCTCTGATATAAATTTTTTAGAAATAGTAATAATCCATTTATATTTAAACTTTATTTTCTTAATCGATTCAGTATCTTATAGAAATTAAAAATCTGTAGCCATCCTCTTGACGTTAGATTACTAGAAATAAAATAAAAAAATAGTTATACATATCTTTTCTCACACAATTTATAAGACATGTGTTTTCTTGATTTGACAAATCTATCTACATTATTATAAAAAATATTGGCTGTCAAAAACAAAATATTAAGCTCTATTAAAATTTTTTCTCCATTAGCTATGAACGAGAAATAAAGTAGTTTTAATTTTACAGCTTCCAATATATCTGTACATTTTAGTTTTGAGGTCATATTTTATTCAAAAGGTTAAAAGTCACGACTAAGTATCTAGATTTTCAAAGGAAATAAAGTAGTGACTTGCATTTGAAATACGACGATAAAATTTTTACGTTTTTTTAACCAGTCTCCTTTATAGCGGTCACTCTAACTAGCAGTTTTTTACACCAGTTTCATACGAGTATATAGCAAAAACTGGAATTTCATTGGCTACGTTGTATGGGGAAAGTTATTAGCGATTTCTGAAAAATATAATAATAATAAAGATACTTGTATAATATATATATTTTAGTAAACTCAGTTGGTTAGTATAGTTAGCAATCAGACCAACTGGCATAAAAAAGTGTATGATAATAATGAATCATAAATAATAGTGAGAAATTGAATGAGTAAATGGAAATACAGCTTAATTTAAATTCAACTTCGTAATGTTAGGTAAAAGTTCATTTTTTAATTATGTGTTTTTTAATTATTATTACCTGTTATTATTAATATTTTGGTACGTTCTAAATATCTACTATAAAGTAATAGATTTTTTTAATATTACAATAACATAAAGAAACGCTTTTCGAATAAACAAATATAAATGCCAGGATATCTGAAAAACGAGAAAGAAGAGGAAAATATTTAATTAAATAAATTAGAACGATTATCCAAGGTATAGTCGTAAAGAAATAGAAATAGCAATGGTTGTCCCAGTTTCGTTCATCCCGGAGTCCTAATTTTCTTTCTCTCTCGTAACACATCAAGATAACAAATGGTTATACCCGTATATCATAAAAAAATCTACATTTATACATAAAAATATAAACTTGAACATATCTTACAAGGAAAACAACCTTATATTATTATGTAATATGAAAGATTATATATCGTTTAATTAACAAGTTGTCCGACAACCTCTACAGCGTAATATTATTGAACTTTACGCCTTTTAAAGGAGATTTTTTCTTTATTGTCAGAGATTAAGACATTAACCGACTTTAAATAAGGAGATGTTTCTTTAGAACCTTTGACTATCTGGATATTCGTTGCCTAATTGCCTATGACAACAAGATACTACAGTTTTAGATCTAATTGGTGCAGATATTTGACATTTATTCTATTATAAAAATGAACTTAATTGTAAAAAGTAATCACACGAATTATTTAATTTTCAAGTAAAGGGTTCTTTGTCTTGTTTTATATTATACTTAAATAAAAAAGTGAAAATAGTAATACCTCATTGAGTTTCAAGTTTACTTGTGCATGACTTAAACATTTTTTGCTTTGTTTCAAACAAAATTCATATAAGTTAAAGTCATCGTGATAAATCAAGCGTTAAATGTAAAGAAACTAACTCGAAGTAAATCCACAGAATAATTTTTATAGGTAAATATATTTTACAAATTGTTTCTATCAAAATTATAATATTATATGTTATTCTGTCAAACATTGATGCGATTCCATTTCAATCTACTTTGTAAGTCCAATCGCGAATGATTAGTGGTGGCGACTGTGAAATATCAAATCGGCCACGGTATTTCCGCGGCACGCGGCTGCATCAGATCCACTCACGCGATCCACTTCGCTATTATTAACTTTATGCCAATTCGACGATTATTAATCAATTATAGACGTCATTTTATTTAACAATTAATCTCACGGCATGAACTTAGTTTTTGACGAATTAACAATAAATTGTGGCTATTTTTTAAATACATCACTTAATTTAATAAAATATTATTTGGGTACTCACATAATATTTTATTTAATTGGATGTATAATGCAATATTTTTTATTTTTTTTTTATAAATAATAAATATACTTAACTATTAGATATTTTAAGATAGATACAGTGAGGTAAGTAATTGCTTTTAATAGCATTTCAACTGTACCTCTGTGCATGTGGAAATCCGGTAGTCAATTGTAAATGAAAGCTTCACTTTTTTTCTTAGTTGACTATACGGTATTAACTTTACCAAACCAATTTAAATTGTTAACTGTTTAGCTACATTCAAATCTGAATACAACGTGATCACAATAATTGAAGAGCTAGTGGAATAACGTTGGTGGGAAACATGCATAAAATTGAAACGAGTCATTAAATAGATTCATGTATTAAATTCACCACTTATATATTGTATTCGTAGGTGATAGATTTAATTTCATTAATTTAACTGCCTGCCTACAAGCTACAAAATACCTACAGCGTTTTAAATTTGGCTACGCTTATCATGATAATAGTAATTATTTTAAAAATTCTGAATAATGGTAATAAAAATTACATATAAGTGCATTTTACAATTGTTATCGCCTACGTGTACTTGCAGAATACGTCGTTTTTTTTTTAATTATATATGGAGAAACTGTTATTAAGAGTCATTTGATTGTTGTTAATTTAATACCCACAATTACATAATATTATTAAATTAAGTCTAATATACAAGTAAAGTTGATAATAAATAATACAAATCATTCTAATATTTATTCGTATTGCGTGAGATAAGCGTCGGTACAGGATACAGGTAGAGCTGCAAACTGCAATGTAGGAAAAGCTCTACCGGCCGACCGGCTTTTTCAGACGCTTCGTTCAGATGCGGCGTTATTACACACATTTATATATATTTGACACTTAAATTCATCTTGAAAAATATGCTTTTTTGGTGTATTAGATTTTTGTATTGTTTTTTATTTAAATTATTTAAGTATTATGTAAAAAAATCACTCACCTCTCGTTCAAATAAAAATAATGTTCGTTTCCACTTGATGATCGACAGGATAATAATACAAAGGTGTCTAGTATGTGTGAGTGTTGTCACTGAGCAAGGGTAGTTAGTCAACAGTTAGATGTCGGAGCGTGATGCTTGCGGCGCGGCCGGGCCGGCACTGACGCGAGGCGGGCGCTCGCGCGGTCCCGCCGCTCTCGGAGGCTTCGCGGCGCGAGCTTTCAGCGACACACGATCCGCACGCACTGCACACTGCACTCGCCCTCTTCTACCCACGCGTTGCGATTCTCTCGATCGTCTAATGTTCCGAGCGCCCGACGTACGTTTGAACTCTTCGCGGTGTCCGCTTTAGCGTATAAATATGAAGCTCGGTGGCGGGGGCTGGCGTCTTACCACGACGCATCGCGAATCCACATCGGCATAAATTGAAGATGCAGTTGGTGTCCTCCACATTGATTTTATTACTTAGGTATACATCGGTTACGGACAATTAGCAAAATCCTCAGTAACCGGTCGATGTCACGAGCATAACAACTTCTGTCTAATTATGCATGTTAGAAGCCCATATAATTATAACAGGTTCACTGCTATGCAGTGCACGCTTAATGATTACATATAATTATTTAGTTTGTTACATATTTACTTAAAGAAAAAGTAAGGTAATACTATAATTTCAAAGAACTTAAGATCTACTAGATTACAAACAAGTATGTTACTAATCAATCGATAAATAAAAATCTTAGATATAAATAAGTAACCAGTTAGTTTGTTTTTACTAACAAATAATTATGTTGATATTATGAATTTCAAATCAACAAATAATATAACTATAATCATTTTGTTGTTTTTCGAAGGCTGAATGCCAATAAATATTTTTCTGATATAATACCTACTAATCATCAGAGAGTCCTACTACTAGTCACTTAACATATAAAATATAGGAAGTTCATCAATTCCGTAAATATTCGATAATTAGTGTCCTTTAAGACATAACATGTGTTTCATATCCAACAAATATTCAGGTACGGAGAACTACATCAGAGGTGACTCTCCTAATATCGTAAACCCATATGGCTATGATAACACTAACTACTCTTCCTCTCTAAGGTGAATGCGACTTTACTCATCGCACCACCATAAGAATACAATACTGCAAAGTATAGAAGACTTAGACTAAACAGTTTTGGTCTGTTGTATAGTGTTTTATCGTAAGAATAGTCAATAGCCATTGACTATGCCTTATTCTGAAATTACAGAGTACGGAGTCATCGCAATTATGACGCATAAGAGGTACAGTATATTCTAGGATGCCCTTATATATTTTTCATGTGAGATAACGATTACTATTTTTAACGGTGGATTTTTGTTGTAAATCTCTATTGTACTTACTTTACATTAGAAACATGAAAAGGAATTAACATAAAATGGACTTATCCAACAGAGGAATCATTTACAGTCAACTTTTAAGAAACTGAAAGGAATCAATAGAATATTCGATAAAAATAGTACAACCAAAGGTAAACTAACAATTAATTTAAAACTACACATATTCTTATATATATTAGAATATTATTAATGTAATAAAATTGCTACTAGACGATGTCTTAATAACACCAATAGATGTCAAAACAATATTTTTAGAATTTTTGTCCATCCATCTATCTGTCTATCTTATTGTCTGTATATTTGTATTTTTGTTCCAGTATCATGCAAAAAATGCACTAAATTGAATGCGATTTTCAGGTAACTGAAAATCGCATTCAATTTAGTGCATTTTTGGATATATCTCCAGGAATGTAAATTCCTGGAGATTTAACTTAAAAAAAAAAACTGGTATAACCATCTAGAAGTGGCCTATTTCATTGGTTTTCCACATGTAAAAAATTGGTAAAAGATAATTGACGAAGGTATATAAATAAACATATAAACTTGTCCATAGTCCTGTCTTGTTTGTCCAAGTTGTATAAAGACTCATCATACATTAAGCATTATTAGATAATAAATTTTTTGTTAATTAATTAATACACTACAAGAAATGAGTCTAACTTCAACCTAAACCATCTGACTAACCTTCAATAAATCTATCAAGATACCACAAGACTGGAACCGGGTGGAATTGTCTCCATACATTGAAGAAAGTCAAAATGTAAAATATTGATTTTATTAATAAAAATAAACAAAATCAACAACTCAGCGTACATTCCATTATCACTGGCTGAAAATTTGACTCCGTATGGATAATTAATTAGAACTCAAAATCAGTGTAATCGTGTGAATATGTACTGGTGGTCACCATCCATGATTTATTATTAATAATGAACACCTTAGCGTTAACACTAATGAGTTTAAAATTGGACTAGTGGTCAAATTTAGCGATAAACAAGTAATAATTTTTTAACTTTATTAGATACAGTGCTATACAGCATATGTATATTAATTAGAATTCTAATATCATCCAATCGAGTAAGCAAGCATTTTAAAAACTCCAACCAAATTATAATATTTTGTATTATTAAATTTTCTGTTTAAAATTTAAGTTGCATAAAAAAAGTAAGGATTTAATTGCTATAGTTGGTACCTCCATAATGCTGTTTGTCCAGTTTCACATAACTCATAACCCGACAATTCTTACACATACACTCTGTCGTTTGCATCGAGTGGACCATCGATTTGATTGCCATCCGTAGTAGTGTAATAAAATGTCTACTATGAGATCCTTATCTTATAGTCTTATAATTTATCATTACCTGTAACTCCGACTATTCCATTATTTCTGCTTCATAAAGGTGGAGTTATTCCAGAGGAGAGTACCTACGTGCATTCTTACTTTACTCCTCCGACTTTTGTATATGTAAACATGCTAAGTGTATTTTTTCGTTGCTCGACTAATTAATGCAAAAAATCATAAACATGCTAGCAGAACATTCTTTCAAATTCGAACGAGTTTACGCAAGGAGGCGGTTAAAAGGTTACTATTCTAGTCCTTGTCTATATCTATATACTTTATTTTTAGTGTAACTATATCTTAACAATCTGATACTCTCTCATATTACTTCTTTTCAAAATACTGTCCTTTTTTTCATTACACACAATAGCTGTGCCCGAGACGGGATTTCGTTTGCGTGACCGAGATAAATAATAGATTATGTCCTTCCCCAACACAAATACTATGTTCATGCTATTTTTTATATTGAGTGCTAAAGATGTTAAAGTAACAAGAGGTTACCTAACCATGTCACAGCCTCTTTAAATGCATTTAATATAATATAAAAATTTTAAATAAATAATATAAATTGCAAATGCGTATATTACAAAAAAAATGATAATTTTTGATCGTTATTTACATAATTATATTATAATAAACACGTTAAATTATACTTATTATCTATTATATATAAATAATATTGATATTCATAAACAATATTAATAAAGGATACTTTATATATTTATATATATATCGACAGAAAAAAACATTTCTAATAAAATAATTAATACCAATCACCTCTCTATGAATAAATTTATTTTCATTACCAATTTCATCTCATTCAAAAGTCATTCACACCCGGAAGAACGGTGTAAAATTGCTATTTGATTAGACATACCTAGCAATATATCTAGATAATTTTATTTAAATGTAAAAAGAAAAATATAGAAATAGGTAACTCTTATTAGAGTAACTTAAAACTAAAAATATATTTTATTATTCATAACGGTTTTATACAGTTATCTATTAATAAATAAATCAACAGTAAACAATAAATTTACCCGGTTAAAAACAAATTTACGGATCATCTAATAGAAAGTGACGAATGTTGTCTACAGACATGAAGAGCATCATGGGGATTACTGAATACACTGTAACCCCTAACAACGTATCTCTCATGCGTTGCTATTCCCGTTAATAAATATTATATAACTACATCCCCTATCATATCCTATCGTATATAGAATATTCCAAACCGAAACTATTGTGTAAGCACAGATACTTAGTAAAAGAAACACAAGTGAGACAGAGATGAGTATGTACATATGTAGTAATAAATGGAACAACATTTAATACATGGTATATAATTATCATTATTGTTTCAATGTTTCATTGTCTACTGCTAAACATGGGCTTCCCATATAAATTGCCATAAAAATACTTCTGGACTATTGTATTTGCATATTTTAGATACTTGAGTATTTATAATTACAAGTTATTAGTCTTAATTCAAGTCTTCTTCTTTAACTTTAGAATAAATAATTAGTAAATTATTCCAAGAAAATCATATAATTCTATATACTGTCTATGCATGACTGAGTAACAAATAATGAAGATCTTAACAGAATTCTATATTTTATATAGTGGTAAGTAACTAATAGAAAAGAAGCGGCGAAACAAAGCGAATGAACACAGATGTAAAATTGCCTACTAGTTGAAGCTCTTAAGTAGAATCTAGCTATATATACCCAAAAACAGAAGTTTTCTACATAGATATTAGGTATAAATTACAACTAAGAAAGAGTTTTGTAAATTACTTCGGAAACAGAGAAGTTATAATAAGCCCAAAATAATTTATTTGCTTTCAAAGACGCGTTCTCAATACGCATCTTCCCATTTTTTTTTTATTAGTCAATATACTCATATATTAAATGTAAAAATCTCTATATTTTTTTTTATTTGGCAGGAATCGAAGAATTTAAGGTTTCCTGCCGTGTTAGTTAACAGCTTTAAAATTGACCAGTTCCACTTGCTCTACATTTCTCCCTTTGGGGTAAGAGTGAAATATTTTTTCACTAGTCCCTACTATTGTGCGATCGATAGTGTTATAGGGAATAAATATGCCACTGTTACATTACTAATTTTGTTAAAACTGACTTTAGAATAGAAATATTTTTTTTAAATTGTTATATGATAAAAAAGAATCATTAAAATCGTTTCATAATTATTCGCGTAATATCTGGAACCAAAACTACAGCCAATCAGAAAAGCTCCTCCTTTTTAAAGTCCATTGAGAAAAATAATCATTTTAACATTGATGATTAACTACTAATAATACATAATGTATTTAATAATAGTTGTATTTTAAATTTATTTATTAAGTTGTGCACAGCAGGAGTATAAATTAGCAACTCATACCGAATCTACACCGGCAAAACTTAATGAATACATAATTAACACAACGTAATGCTATTACCAGAGAAATACAAGAATAATTCGCATATTTCGACGAAGAAAGTAAAAAAGATCGCAGATAGACGAAGGAATTCAGGGTTAGTGACACTGCAACCAGTTATTGTGGCAACGATTTTATCTGAGCACCAAAGTGTCTAAGCACAATTGATCAAAACAAAGTTGGGTTTAATGAGATGCAAGTAATTTCAATCTAAGACATAGTACACAATGTTCTTAAAAAATTCCCTGGGCCAAAATGATATGTGAGCTCGCAATTACCAAGATGCAGGTCAACAGTTTAACAACAAACATGGCCTGTAACTATTTTTCACTTTCACATCCAATATTAGAGTTTTTATGTTCGTAGATACAGTCCATAGATAATTACCAATACTCGTAATCTATGTTCGTAATCGATCTTATTGAGTGACGTATCAATTACATTCTTGAACTTGCATTAATAAACGAGTAATAATCCGTGTATGAGTACAGTTATTAAATAAAACTTCAGAAACGAATTTAATGTAGCAGGTTTGACAATCCGGTTGCATGCCAACGAGTGCAAAATAATTAAAATACATATAATGCATATTATATTGTACAGCCTTTTAATATAAAAATCATTACAAGAATCTATCTAATATTAATTAACACAAATAGAATATTTATACCTAGTGTTTTTTATAAAATGTTTATGATGTGTAGTCCCCTAAGGCCAGTGACACTGGCAAGCGCCGCTTTTTTATATTAATTAAGACGAACTCAATCCTAACATAACGGCCACAAACATTACTATGTTAATTTATTATTAGGGTATTTTCTTGGCATCCGCAATGTGACACACATTTTTTTAAGACTTAACTGTAGCAGAAATATGATTGATAGGTGGCCTTTTAAATCTGCATCATTTGTTATCTCCTACGTTGATACCGGATGTTTTTCTATATGAAATTTGATCCCTAATCAATCGCATTTTATTTATAATAACATACTTAATGTTATTTAAAAATAACATATATGTTATGTAGTGTCATAACCGCCGCAAGAACGGAATTAATAAATTGCCACTCTATTTATTATTTTGACTACCGTACATTGCAAATTTTTCGGAAACAGTTATAAAATTAAACAAATTTTATGTTTACAGAGGTTAATAATAATATGAAGTATGTACAACTAACACAACGACTGCTTAAATGTCAGTAAAAGCGTACCATTTTACTGACATTTGTAACACTATGTGTACCACTTTTATGCAAATATTACCATAGTTTTTGTCGAAATTAATATCAAGTTAGTCGAAACAATACTACGTACAGTATACTTCTAGATAGGTAAAAACCGCATATTTAAGTAAAAAGGTTTATATAAAACGACACCTGTTCCAAAGATAATAATTTGGGGGTACGCGGACGGATATAGGCAATATAAGGAACTGCTATGTGTGCAGATTTGTTGAGTGTAGTGGTAGCTATTCGTAGCGACTATTGATTTTGTCCACCCCAAACCGCACACTCGCCGAACTGCATCGAGTTCCGCTGCCTAACACTAAACTTATTACCCATCTATTATTATCAATTTATTGACCGCTCCTAAAATATAGACGATATTTTAGCGACTTTGTTCTTTGGATATTCCGTTAATAAATTGTTACCTGTTTTAATCGTTTTATTATGCTAAATCACAGTTAAATGGATAAAATTTAGGAACGTCTTCAAACTGACAATATCATATTTATTATTTTAAATATTGAAAATATTTTTTGTCAAATGTCCATGTGATAATGGAGTGAGAATATAATGTACCTATCACCAGTCTTTTTTAACCATTTGTCTATACTTATAGTATATAGTACGATAATAATTGTAACATAATCAATGTCTGACATTTAAGTTACATAAAAAAATTATATAGAACCTATAGTTTCGATTTGTAAATAATATAAATATCGCAAAATAATATAGGCTATATATTTGCACTCTGAGTTTATAAGAAATTTTTTAATTAAACTAACCTTTAGTCCATCAAGGGATGGTTTCTAAAGTACATCAAGTCTTTTATTTCCACAATAAAATACATAATAAAAAATGTAGTGATTGCCTTGATAAAATACAAGATATTCATTAGAATGAGAAAACTTTTACTCTATAATCACAACTATAATCCCAGTTGAAGTAGTTAATGGTATTTTCTAAACTGCTGTCATTGTGGTGAACGTGACATTCTTCACGCCCACATTTCGCATAATATGTTAAAATCCAACGGGACATAAGGCCAGCCTGACGCGGTTAGATTATTTAGATTGTTAATGGTGTTTACAAATACCTGAAATATCATTTTTTATTGTACTCAGGTTATTTTACATTACACATGAATACAATCATATTAGGATAGCCCCTACCACATAACTATTAGGCTATAGCTATGTTACTAATTTTAAAATGGGTAATATTTGAAAAATATTTAAATGTTTCCTATTCCGTTACGTTTAAACTACTGTATCTATTTAAATAAATTTCGAGCTATATCTTACATTAATACAGAAACCAGATACTGTTTATCGTAATTCATGGGGTTAAGCCGGGGGTTAAGGCTATAACAAATACAATTCCGGTTATCCAAAAAATGGTACATTGAATAAATTACCATAAATTAAATAAAGGACACGTTGCAGGTAGTTATTACGCATTATTATCTGTCGGTTTTCCTTACAGCGATCATAAAACGAGTATATTCAATGTGTGCACCAACCGAGGAGCTGAGTGGTCCGCGTTGTTCCACGAATTTCCCGATTTAAACCGGTAAGCCTGGGAATCGGTCATGGGTGTTTTAATACAACGTGATAGGTATTCAAACTCTGTTCCTAAAACAATTTGGCTCACACAATTTTTAACTCTTTTATATTACACCTACTACGAGTAGTACAGTAGTTTACCATTTATGTTTACTAAGCAGAGCCAAATACAATCTTGAAAAGTTTGGTGGTCATCTTGAAAATTAATACTGAAAAATTAATAAAATAATACTTTATTATTTTTTTATAATATTTTCACATTATAAATAAATTCAGATGTATATGCATAGTAAATGCGTATGTGTACACGAAAACAGAGGCTGCATTTTACATCTGCTCCTAAAAATATTTAGGGATTAACTTCCTTCAATAGACATGAGAAAGGAATTTCATAGTATGGCAATGTAGAAAGTAAAAAAATTTAAGAAAAATAGACTTACCTACTTAATCTACAAGATAAACGAAAAAGAGTGATTGTTCTGTATATAACACACAAAAAATACAGTTGAAATAGTTTTAATGCTTTATTTTCCTGCCTATCATTACAGATTAAAGCAGAGATGCTGTTTGTTTACGTTTTAACTCATTGGCGCGAAATAACAATAGGCGCTAATAACTGCAACTAATAAATATTATTCAAAATACGTGTTATTATTTCTACCTTAAATATATTATAAAATTTTTGTGATTCTTTCACTTTTCAATATATAATATACTTATATGTAAGTAAATAATTTCAAAATAAAAATAGTATGAATAAATTCTGAAATGATAATGACATTTTATCTTTATTTATCTATTAGACAATAATAATTTGTCACAAAAATCTTTTTGTTTATTTTAATAAAAATAAATTATTAAATGTCTACATATTAACATGAATAAACTGCCTTATATCATACAAAATTTGTTGTTACAAGAATATGATATATATAATAATCAAGAAGTATCTAATTATAAATAAAAGATATAATAGTGTTAAAAATGATTATTCCTATCAAAAAACCAACTTCAATTGTGTCATAGCCAGTTATTTTGATTTAAAACAAAACAACTGAACCAATTTTGATAAAATTTGTATGGGACCTTGCCGTGTGATCCCGGCATAGAATAGGCTATCTCTTCCTTTCACGTGGGTGTCGTAAGAGGCGACTAGGAGAAGGTGAGGGATGGGCAGCAGCGTTCCTCTTGAAACATCTCCGAAGCCTCACTGTGGTTGCCAATCCGCCTGCCAAGCGTGTCGACTACTGACAAAACCCCCCAAGGGTGAGGCTTATGTTCAGCAGTGGACATTTAAAGGCTGAGTTGATGACTATGGGACCAATAAAACTTACAGTCTTATGTATACTCTTTCTGAAAAAAAAAGAATTTTCCAAATCGGATTAGAACTGATGGAGTTATGAAGTAACAAACATAAAAAAATACAATTGAATTTAGAACCTCCTTATCTTGAAAAATACAATCATTCCGTTGCGGCAATAACTATTTACTCATGTTAATTTCCATAAAAATTCTCTATAGTGTACTTTTATTTACAATATGGAAAATAACACATACTACTACATAATACTATGTTATAGCTATATGACACTACTAAAGGTAAAAACCCAATCATTGAATCACTTTTTTTATTAATAATAGGTATCTACTTAGATAAAAGTAAGTAGTAACATATCAATAGCATTAGCTGATAAGTCATAAGGCAAATGCTAAAATAATAATTTAGACTCTTTGACAAAATTATAAAACCTATAGAGGACATAATTAAGAATGTGGACAAAATTCAGGTAATTCTACAAATAGCTAAATATATGTATGTACGTACTCGTACGTCAGAGGTAAAATAAATATTCAAACTCACTTATAACATCACTTAATAATAATATTAAAGTAAGGCTAATAGTAAAATAAATCAAAATTGGTTGCAATTTTGAAATAAAAAATAAACTTTTCACCAAAACAAAAAAAAATTCTCTATTTAATTTATTTAATGAAAACGTAAATTAAATTATTGTTATATAAAAAATGAGAAGAAAAACAGGTACCTATAAAGACAAGCTCTCCGTACTATACGCATAAGGATAACAATAGAAAGAATTATTAGGATAATTATAGTAAGGACTAATATTATAAATGTAACAGTGAGTTTGTTTGTTGATATTTCTACCGCTTAACCACGCTTTGATACATGCGAAGTACATATTTGGAATGTAAAAAAAAAGACTATTTTATCCCCATAATTCAATAAATCCCAGTTACGCAGAAAATATTGTGAATAAGAACTATATACTTAAAGTTTTACCAATACTTAGGAACATTTAATATTAAAAAACTATATTTATCTTTTAATATAATTAATTAATTTTATTTAATAAAATTATTTAATTAATTTAAAACTATATAGTATACAAATAAAGCAATCATTCATTCACTCCATTCACGATAACCTACAAATAGACTGATCACGAAGACAGATCTAATTACAGTTTAGAAACAACAAAAAATGATAACTACATAATGATCCTAGGGAGACACCGTCGTGGGACGATAATTTCCAACTAGTATACTAATAGCTTGTTAGACCGGGTTATTTTTATAACTCCTAATACATATAACCTGAACTGAGTATGACAAGCAACGAAGTAAACTAAAATAACATCTTCACCTTGTACTTAAGATACAATAATAGAGCAAATTATATTTTAATAACGATAAATATATGTTCAAATACTCACCTTTTAAAATCATTTACAAGTAACATAGTACGAGAAATACAAAATACAATATTATTATTGTAATATATATGGGACATTTTTGACTAGGTATTATTCAGTTTTACTTTAGCTGTACAGTTTTTACCCTTGAACATTCTATAGTTTTAGCTTCTCAAGGGTTGACTATAAGAGATCCCTCTATAGGATAAATCCGCCATTGTATATTAAATCTTTTTAATGTGTCCAATGTAAATTATGTACGATAAGCATGCATTACATTATGAAAGTGCATTACTAGTTGACTGTTGACGTATTTTTTTAAATGTAAATTTAGCTTGTAATTTTAGATTTATATTTAAAAATATTGACCATTTAGAATTTTAACATCAAAATTACTACTATGTAAATTTTATAAAATATGAACACAGGTTGGTTGTGTTACTTTACAAAGCTTTATAATATTAAAAAATTATGCAGTTTGTTGGCGACTGTGTAACTTCCCCTATTGTGTTTAATTAAGATATACTAGGTATTCCCGCAGCTTAGCTCGCATAAATTTGGTTAATACCATAATCTCATAAACGGAAAAAATTACATATTTGTTCACTTATCAGTTAATCTCATAATTACCTCATAATATTTTATAAATTACCTATTTTAAGACTTAAAATGACCAAATTACATACATGCATTCTCAATCGAGTCCTTCTCATACATATACATAAAAAGTAAACAAAAATAAAATTTAAATAAAAGAACATTGTGAAATATTCTAAGAAAATGTATTGTCGGAATAAAGAGTATTCTATCTATATATTAATGTAAAAAAAATCTGTTCATCTTACATATAATTTAAGAAATCTAAGTTTTCATTAAAAAAAAATTTGGGAGGTATTTAATAATATATTTTTTGTAGGTAGCATGAAGCAATAACAAGTAATACCGTAAAAAATAAAAAAATGGATCATTAATTTATTTTACTTTATAAGGAATTTATAATTTTACTGTATTTTACCCATTCAAGTAAAATTTTAAAATCTTTATTTCTCAACAATGAAGTCTATACAGCAGTCATTGCAGCATATTAACACAAAAATGGCAACATTCCAGGACAAATTAGGTAATGCCAGCTCTGCTCCGGTCACTTTGAGCTCAGTACCTTCGGATTTCGCACAATTTAAGTCTCTTATAACAGAGTAACTGCTCAACCTTCAGCTGCAAGTAACAACAGGATTGCTTGAAAATGCACAGTCGTCACAAAATTTTGTTACTACAAGAGGTTCATGAAAATAGTGGAAATAACTCAACAGTGTTAATCTCTAACATTCTCATTGAGAAACTTAAACTACCCATATCGCCATATGACAAAAGCCGTAGCCATCGAATGGTCAGTATATTTTATAGGAAACGCAGACTAATTCTCGTTAATTTTAATTATACAAAAATGAGAGATAAGGTATGGTTTGTAAAAATGCACTAAAATCAGTAGTATTACACTGCTCGAGTTCCTTACTAAAGCAAAGTACGACACTTTTATAAAGATATGAAAAAACTTTGGTGTCACAAAATACTGGACACGAAATGGCACCGTGGTTCGGTTCTGATGGCAAGAGGCATCGAGTCAGTTCTATTGCTGCTTAAGCAGCTCATCAACCTATCACCGATTGATGATGAGAATGCTGTCTTCGTGTCCACAAACTCTCAACCCCCTTGAAGGTGTCTGATAATAGACAGGGCCGTGCCTGACGGGCGTTCATTGCGTGCACCGCACGCAGGCGGCTGAAATTAAGAGGCGGCCAAATCGTTACAAGTTGTTTACTGGGCCGATTTCGGTTAACCAAAAACTGATTTTTTTCCCGGTTTGATGCCCTGTGTATAATAATAAACATTAAAAATTAAAGTAGTTTTTTTTAATGTTATCCTGGGGGCGGCCATACAGACTGGCACGCAGGCGGCCATATACCCAGGCACGGCCCTGATAATAGATAATATAGTATCGATGATAACAGTTATATAATCTTAAAAATATAATACCATTATTAATATTTAATAACTATTAAAAGAATGGGGATATTAGTAACAGGGACTAGCGACCCCATTATTAGCCCTGTTAGGCCAATTTTCACGGTGCCCTCCCAAGAAAACATCGTGATTAATTCTTGATGAATTCGTTACAGTGGGCCAGCTGACCTACTCTCTTTCTCTCCTATCATCCCTTACAAATACCCTACCAGCGTATACCGATAGTATAGGCGGTATTACTATTTCATTTTCATTAATTGAAAAAGTAATAACTACCTACCCACTGCGCTAATACTTGGTGAGATTATTCCATGTATTTGCTATTGAACCAACATTCAATTTTAATATAAATACTCACGTCTTGGTAATCTGGTTGTACTAAAATTATTATTATAATTCATTTTATAAAAAATGCACCCCATACCGGTAAAATAATATTTGTAACACTAAACGAAGGTCAATAACCTACACAAGGCCTTGGATGATACGCGATGTTTTTCGGCAAACCGCAACGTATATTATGGTTAAAGTTAAGTACTACTATTAAAGAAAAATAATGGAAATACTATTTTTCTTTTGTGCGAGTACATTGATCTTATTATGGTTAATATCTTATATTATGGGATAGTTAAAGTACCTAGTATACGTATATTATAATCCCTAGAATTGTATTTAGTATTATTTCTGTATGTATTTAAGGAGAACATTTTTAATAATAATGTTACGATGCATAATTCTTACTAGGTATAATAATATGGGAGTTTTTTCTTGTTACCTCTTAGCGACTTAACTATTTACTATGAAATTTACAGATACTATATGATAATAGATTGTAAATGAGATGGTAGATGAGATTCAGTGAACATATACCCGTCGAACCGCAGATAAAGTTACGGGTAAAAGTTAGTCTAACATATTTC